AGCAAAATCAAAAAAGTAATGCAAGGTAACATTCGGATGAGGCTATGCTTAACTTTTTTTAACATTAGATTAGTATGTTGTATCTATCACTTTTGGGTGTTAATTTTGTGGACTAGTGTTGCATTTAAAATTACAGTTCTCAATACACATCCCACTACATTTATATTTTTAATCCGGTATCGTAATCTTTACTATACTGACATTTACATAGTACATAGTTTTGGATAACTACAAGAATATAAACTGAAATCTTTGGCGAAAATTATACTTCACCAAGTAGCACTCACTAACTAAACGAACTGGATAGTATACGAATCCACAGGCTATAACACACCTAAAAAACATTGGAAATGTTTAAATGTATGAAGAGGCTTGTAAATACTTTTATATGATATATATACCTGCAAAATATCAAGTTTGTGGAATAAAACATTCTAAAAATTTGTCAATTTTGTTTTATTAGACAAGCTGATTTCATAAATCTTAGAACTTGCTAGTCAGTGATGAAACCATTATTGGTCAAAAGTGGACTTAATGTATCCAGGCAAGTTTATTAATATACTTAACCGTAGATTTTTTTCATATTATAAATAAAAAACCTTGGATAAAAACATTTTAATACCGCTTCAATGGATTTCCAAGGCTATCTTCTATCGGAAACTAATTCTAATCGAAGAATCATTGGAAATCAAAGTATACCAGAAAGTTAACATACTTACTTACGCCTGTTACTCCTCGTGAAGGATCATAGGCCGCTCACCAGCATTCTCCATCCAACCCTATCCTGGGCAATCCTTTCCAGCTCCTTCCAGTTCCTATTCATCCTTTTCATATCTGTTTCTAGTATCCGACGTAATGTGTTCTTAGGCCTTCCTCTTTTCCGTTTCCCTTCAGGATTCCAAGTTAAGGCTTGTCTCGTGATGCAGTTTGATGATTTGTGTAATGTATGTCCTATCCACTTCCATCGTCTTTTCCTAATTTCTTCTTCAGCTGGAAGTTGATTTGTTCTCTCTTACAAAAGGCTGTTGCTGGTGGTATCCCGCCAATGGATGTTGAGCATCTTGTGTAGACAACTATTTATAAATACGTGTACCTTCTAGTTGGTGGTTGTTGTAGTTCTCCAAGTTTCAGCTCCATACAGTAGAACTGCCTTGACGTTGGTATTGAAGATTCTCACTTTGATGTTGATTGACAGTTGTTTTGAGTTCCATATGTTCTTCAATTGTAGGAATGCTGTCCTTGCTTTGCCAATCCTCGCCTTTACGTCTGCATCTGAACCTCCTTGTTCATCGATGATGCTTCCTAGGTATGTGAAGGATTGTACATTTTCCAGAGTTTCGCCATCAAGAGTGATTGGATTGTTGTTCTTCGTTTTGAATTTGAGGACCTTCATTTTCCCTTTGTGTATGCTAAGGCCTACTGATGCAGAGACTGCTGCTACACTGGCTGTCTTCATCTGCATCTGTTCGTGTGTATGCGATAGGAGGGTTAAGTCATCTGCGAAGTCCAAGTTGTCTAATTGATTTCGAGCTGTCCATTGAATTCCGTGTTTTCCTTCAGATGTCGAGGTCTTCATAATCCAGTCGACCACCAGAAGAAAGAGGAAGGGAGAGAGTAAACAGCCTTGTCTGACTCCGGTCCTTACTTGGAATGCATCTGTCAGCTGTCCTCCATGCACGACTTTGCAATGTAGTCCGTCGTATGAGTTCTGGATAATATTGACAATCTTCTCAGGAACTCCATAGTGTCGAATAAGTTTCCATAACGTCCTCCTATCCACACTGTCAACTGGCTTTTCATAATCAATGAAGTTGATGTATAGTGATGAGTTCCACTCAACTGATTGTTCGACGATGATCCGTAGTGTTGCAATTTGGTCTGTGCATAATCGATCCTTGCGGAATCCAGCTTGTTGATCTCGAAGTTGGGCATCTACTGCATCTTTCATCCGGTTCAGCAACACTCTTTTGAAGACCTGCCCTGGTATTGACAGCAGTGTAATGCCTCTATAGTTCTCAAAACTGTTTAACAATATTCAACAACGACTCGATATGAGATTGAATCCAAATCTTTTACTTTCAAGCACTAAGATGAACAATCATTCATTAGAACAACATATATAAACGAACAATATTGTTTTCGATTAAATCCTCATCAGGTTTTACTCTAATATACAGTAATATTTATATGCATATACGAGGTTATTAAACTAGTCGAAAGCTATATTGGGCGCACTACCAGACAACTGAGCCGACGAGTTAGTGAAAACCTCTCTTCGTGGTTATAAAAGAGTACCGTCAAAACAATATGAAGCTCTATTCTATCATACTTGATCAATAGTAGTCATATATTGTACAGCAATAGGTCATTTGAAGTGATTTATTGTATTTCCACTAGTTTTTCTAATGGGATTCGATTTCGTCTCTTACAAATAGCAGAAGCTATAGGAATTAGAGCTAACAATCTAAGTTTTCGTGTTCATAATAAATTCATAACACCATCTCTCCCTTGGTCTTAATAGATGATTTTATTTATTATTATTATTATTTTCAATACTCTTTCTTTGTTTATTTTTCTTCACCCCCTCCCATCCTTTTCTTTTTTCTCAAATATAAGTTTGACGGTTCAATTATCTGAACTCTTCTTATTACGTAATCTTATAATTTTTATAATGTCATCACACTACTGATTTGTACTTTTCATTTATTGTTTATTTATGTAATCTTTCCACTGTTTTTATTGATTCATAAACTGTTTTGATTGGTTTAATAGCTTCGTATATCCATATAAATATTATAGTATATTAGAGTAAAACCTGGTGAGGATCTAATCCAAATCAATATTGTTCGCTTATATATGTTGTTCTAAATCACAATATGGGAATTTTTCAAGTCATTGATTACTCTGTGAGTTGTAATCGACTTAAAATCGAGATTAGTTTGTGTTAGAAATGGTAATTGAAAAACAAAGAAATTCATTGAAATCATTAATTTATCAAAGTTAGACGACCATTGAAGACTTGGAAACACTGGGACTCCTCAATAGTTCCCATCCATGAGCTCGTACACAGGAATCGAACTCAAGTTTTTCGGTCTTGTGAGCGAAGGCCTGACATCTAGACAGCTGGGTCACCATTTAACGGTGTTATACAAGATTAATCACAAACTCATCTTGACAACAATTACCAAAATTATATTAAGTTTTAAATTTAATAATATTTTTTCCACCACAAACCAATTTCCTCTATACAACTGTCAAAGGTCAGGAAACACTGCACATATATTTCATTCTAATTTTAGACTCATCAGTGGTGTGGAATCATGGCATATTTACAAATCTAACCGACAACCACCTAACATTGGGCAAGACGGAATGTGTTACCTCAAACTACAGTATTGTAATCCAATAATTCACACGTTTCCAACTTCTATTAGTTCAGGGTATTACTTAAATAGTTGCCTAACAGGGATTGTTTCTTAACATAATCTATTTTCAAATTGAACAATCTCCAAAAAACATTGTCCTATAATTGGTGGCACGAATATAGTACATAAATGAATCAACCAGAGCGGAGACAACTAATTTTGATTTTTTGTGAAACATTCAAAGAACTAATGACTTATCTTTCATCAAATAAAACAAGTGATAGAAACACCTTGATATAGGAGTCAGAAGATTTAAAATTGTTATAAAAACAATTCTTTTCGACATTATATAGTAAAAGTGATAAATGTTGAGGGTATCAAGTGTTCACTTTTATACAAACATGGATTTTACATAAGAAGTAAATCAGTTTGTTCGTATTTCAGTTTAACTTGCTTCTAGTAGACTCCTAAGGCAATCGTTTGTTTACTGGTCTACTGAATAATAAACTAGTTAGTTAGTTAGGAATGCTAAGGTAGATGATCATCGCTACACATGACCTCTTCATATTTGATGTCTTATAACTCTATAAAACTATTTATGCCCATTAGGATGATTTAGAAAGAAACCTTCAAGAAGATGTATCTGCACTCAGATTAATGAAGTTGTTTAAAGATATTTCTACAATACTACTATTAAAAATTAAAAATAAGCTTTCGAAAGCCAATAAACTCCCTAAAAATGCTCAACTGTAAAAGGATTCATTACTTTTGTTAGGAAATATTGTTGGTTTATTCAGACTCTCTGTTGATTGCTTGAATTCACGAGATCAGTTTAAGAATCAGTCAAGCTGGTTCATATAACTATACTTTTACCGAATTGTTTATCAAGAAAATTAAATCTTAAAAAAAATTTCCTTTGTTGTCAAACAGTAAATTTTCAGAAAAAATAAGCCTTTATAAAATATTCTACATTTACTAGAGTGACATATTTAAAAGAGTACATAACTTAAGGATAATTAATCAGTAGAGAAACGAGTGGTAATCAGTAAAATTTAATGGGATCCGCCTTTTCGAACTGGCTCAAAAGGGTTCAATTTTTCGTTCTTAAATTACCAAGACGTTGATGTATATTTCAATTGAGAATTCATACTCGTTGGAAATAACAGTCTATGGAAGAAAATCAATAAATCCGACTTTGATGATTTCTATTTTCTCGACTCAGTACCAACATAATAGTTAAATTAACTTGATGTTGTTTGTATGTATCTTCCCATTATTGTTTAAGACTGCAAATGATCAGTCTCTTGTTGACATATGTGAGTATTAACTCTGAGATGCAGGTACATCCAACTGATGAGTCCCAAATTGGACGAAACGTGCGTCCTGGATCCCACTGCTAGCCACTATCCATCTTTACGTATAATAGTTAAATGGTTTATTTATTTATTTCATTTGATGACTTAACTGAGTAATTTAAGCTATAATTTATGATTGTCATTAAGAAATAGACAATCTGATGATTATATATTCTAAAAATTGAGTTTAATATGCAATGTACAGTTATTTAAAATACTTTCAATATTGTGTTTTAAAAAGATTTTTTAGGTGTTTTTAATTGAATTGTACATTTCCGGATTAGTGTAATCTTTTTTTAGAAAGCTTGCTGTTTACATAAACGATTTCACGAATGGAATGGATAATAATTCCCATATCATTATTACCATTATTATTATTATTATTATTATTATTATTATTATTATTATTATTATTATTATTATTATTATTATTATTATCAGTCGTGGTGGTGCTAGTATTATTAATAAAGAGAGATGAAGATAGGAGGATAGATGGAATATTTGAATGAATGAAAGTCAAACCAAGCGTAAGAGTAGTAGGTTGAATCTTTCCATGAACGGAATATCACAAAAATTATGGCTTACCGAAAAGATGTTCTTTTATGCTATAGAAAATAAATTTTTGATAATCTATGAGGTTATGTTGAAATCTTTTAGGCTTAGGAACCTAATATATCTGGCTAGTCATCTTACTAAGATGATGACAAACAATTGATCAAAATATAATACTATGGTTTGGCTGAAGTTACGCGTCTGGATAACTGAAGCTAAACTAGTTGGTGTAAATGATGTAGAATGTAGCGTAGTCACAGCCAAGCTGATTTCCACATGCGAATCAAACTATCTCGGGAAGTAGGTGTATGAAGGTCATTTAAAATTAAACTTTAGGAATAATTATTTACCCATCGCCCTGTAAAAGGTATCACTAAATAAATATATCATTGAATAGTTTAGTTAAGATCTAAATTGATGGGCTTCCAAAAATCAGGTCAAATTTTGCCCAAATTTGTGACTAGTTGACCTACTGTATATTTTTGTATGTGTCCATTAAATAGTGAATTTTAGATGATTCAAAAGTTGAGAGAAATAATGATGGGTTGGGTGTAGGATATGAGGTCAGGGTTGCAAACAATGCTAATGTGTTGGTATCCATTTTAGTTTGTATATATATATATTCATAAGCATAGGTATAGTGGTATTTATAGTGCAGTACAAGTGAATAAGTTAGGAAAGAAAATTCATTCTAAAATGAGTAGAAGAGTAGAAAAGTAAATGAAGAGAGGTAAGAAGAAGAAGAAAGGAAATAAGTAGAAGCATGAACACAATAAAATTGAGGAGGAAAAGAATACAAAGTGAAGAACAATAGTATAGCATAGTGAAACATGAATGGGATGGATAGAAAAACAATAATATTAAGAAGAAAAATGCATACATAGAGAGAAGAACTGAAATTGAGCAGTTTTTGGACAATACACTAGGGTGTTCAATGGAAGAAAAGCAAAGAGAGAGAGAGAGAGGGAGAGGGAGAAAGAGAAGAAAAACAAGAAAATAAAATAAACTTTACCAACTAACACAATAAATTGGATGATTCATCGTTCAGGTTAAATAAAAAAGAGAAACTTTGTAAATGAATAAGTTTGCATGGCACGTGTTTTCTTTTTATTATTATTTTTTTCTATCGCTTTTTCCAGTTTGTTATTGTTGCAACGATTTATTCTATGATGGACAAACAGTATATGAATGTAATTACTGTATATTCTTTTAGGACAATTATATTGGAGTATTTTGTTTGTGATTTTTTTTTTTAGTTGATTCTCCTGATTTAGAAATACAATTTCTAAAAAAATAAATAAACATGTTTGTTTTTTTTACCAAAGATCAATTGCACTTTAAAATGTTAAACAATAAGAGACAAGACTTTTAATTTGTAAAAACACACTCACATACATGTATATGAAATACCTGTGAAAATATGACGGATTGTCGACCGATCTGGTGGTGGTGGTGGTGGTGATGATGATGGGAGTTGACTTTTTTTCTATCGCCCACGTTTTTTCTTGAAATTAAGATCAGGTTGTTTAATTGTTTGATTCGTAATACTATATGATCATAACATCTTGAGAAACTTACTTTTGTGTTAATGGCAATATTGTCGATCATCGTGGATGTCCTTTCATTCTGCATACGTATTTCATATAAAAATCGTTTACTTTGTGAGGGCTGTTATGAATAACTAAATGACGGAAAGTTTAATTATCATACATTATTAATTATTTGACACTCACTTCTGATGAAAATATAACCTCTATAGACATTTAGTGAAAATTTTTATCAGACTAGTTATTCAGAATAGACATATAAGATTAGATGAATGCGATAAAAGGAATTACAAATTAGTACCTAAATCAAAATTTACTGTTTTCATTGATTTCGAAGTAGATCTTTCATTGAGTGTATGCGAATTAGGTTTTTGACTAGTCTGTGAAGGGTAATAGACGAAGGGCAAGAACAAGTATGAGAGCAAAACAGAACATAATTTATATTCTTCAAAAGTTAGGCTGCATGAGAAATCCCATTCGCAGTATCTATAATAAATAGAGTATTTCATTGAATTCCTCAGTATTTTTTTTCATTCTTCACCCTCTGACTCCCACGGCAGAGTATAGATGGTTTAAATAATTTTTTTGATTGGTATTTTTTTGGCAAGTTATTTTTATACGGGATGGGGTCGCTAACCCCATGTCCAACCCTCCTCCTTTATCCGGGCTTGGGACGGGCAGTGGCCCAAGAGGGGCTCCAGGAGGAGTTATTTTTCATTCGCAATGAACTTAAATGAAAAAAAACATTTGCTAAATTTGTAAGACTAAAAAATGTATTCGCATCAGGAATTTGAAATGAAAGCGTAAAAATTAAGTTCTCCACGTTTCAATTGTAGAGAAATATAATCAGTTGTTAGATTAGCGTAAGCTTATCATAGAAAAAGAGTATGTTGAGATTAGTAATAATGACAAGTTTTTAGATAAAAATCTATTTTCAAACAAAATACATTGTAAACAGCTATCATCAATAATCGGTTATTTTGAACACAATCTAATTTCAATATGGCAACTGAAAATTTAGGTTACTACTCAAGGGGAAGCATGGGATACAGTGGACAGCTTCGATGGAGCTGAAAGATCTAGAATTTTCAGATGATCTGACCCTTCTATCACACACGCAACAACAAATGCAGGAGAAGACGAACAGGGTCTCAGTATCTTCAGCAGCACTAGGTCTCAACATACACAAAGGGAAAAGCAAAATTCTCCAATACAACACAGCAAGCACCAATCCAATCACAATTGATGGGGAAGATTTGGAAGATGTTAAAACCTTTACATATTTGAGCAGCATCATTGATGAACATGGTGGATCTGATGCAGATGTGAAGGCGCGAATAGGCAAAGCAAGAGCAGCATATTTACAATTGAGGAACATCTGGAACTCAAAGCAACTGTCAACCAACACCAAGGTCAGGATTTTCAATACAAATGTCAAGACAGTTCTACTGTATGGGGCGGAAACCTGGAGAACTACGAAAGCCATCATCCAGAAGATACAGGTGTTTATTAACAGTTGTCTACGCAAACTACTTCGGATCTGTTTGCCGGACACTATTAGCAGCAACCTACTGTGGGAGAAAACAAACCAGATTGCAGTGGAGGAAGAGATCAGGAAGAAGTGCTGGAAGTGGATAGGACACACATTGAGGAAAGCACGCAGTTGAGTCACAAGGCAAGCTCTGACTTGTGATCGTGAAGGCCAAAGAGGGAGAGGAAGACCGAAGGACACATTGTGTGGAGATATGGAGATAGATATGAGGAGAATGAACAAGAATTGGATATATATATATATATATATATATATATATATATATATATATATATATATATATATATATTTAATGTATCGATGATGTAAATATAAATTCATAATTATCTAAAATAAACTCACTATTCCTCGTCTTTGCAAATCAATGTCTGCCTCACTTTACTGGTGTACAACGATAACTAATTCAGTCCAAACTTTCATGTATATTCTCTATTTCATTAATGACTAAGACAATGTATTATTTATAAATCTAAAGAGAGAGTTATTGTGAAGATATTTGCTTCCTCGAACATTCTTTTTCCATTCCAAAATGAATTATAGCTTTCCACTATTAATTCATTACTTCGTAGAGAAGTAAATTCGATAAACTATACGATGACTTATTTGTCAGGATTACGTACAAAGGATGACTAACTTCAAACCAATTAGATACCTATTTTTTAAATCTGAAAAAAATATTGTGATAAATTTTCTTATTTTGAATTTGTTTTAACCAAATAAATAAATATATATCAACTGTATAGTTTACTCATGTACATTCATGAGGGGAAATACTGTAAAAGTGAAATGAAAACACCACAGTATTTAGTATATTTCCTTCTGGTTTATCCTTTGCAGAAATAAGATACTATTACGCTGGAATCGCTACATCAAGTACGAATTAATACATGAAATTTCATATATATGTAAAATACTAAGTGAAGAGATTACTACTAACGCGTTATTAGTTTTTGTTGTGAATTTAAGTTGTGGTTGATTTTTACCCTGTGCTAATTGTTGTGTCCTTGACTGAAAAACTAGAGAGCAGCGTATTTATCGACCGATTCAATGACACGTAAACACGTACGAACGTAATGGACGACCTAGAGTTACGATTGGTCCCAATTCCCTGTCTATCCCAGCCAGTTGAGTCCATAACACAAATCTCAGCCTCTGAGTTATGAACCATTGTATTTCAGACATACTCTATTTATATACTAACCAAACATACCACATCGTACCATTAAAATAGAAAACAACATTTTGTACCATATTCAACAAGTGAACAGATATCGACCGGTAGGAAATGTCCATTTAAGGTCCAAGGACACCATTGGACTTAACATGATAATTATTGGTCTATCCTTCGCATCCACAACAGTTTTATTACTCTCAGTATCTAAAAGCACCATCTGTTTTTAACAGTGATATGTTCTCTGTTATTTGAGTTTACCTTATATACAAGTGAGAATAAATTTATGTCGAAGTAAACTCTCATAATGTTATCCGGAATGACAATCAAATCTCTTCAATTGAACCATCCAGTTGAAATATCAAAACATCATTTAAAGTATGAATCTGAATTTTAAAACTTTTTCATTATTCACCATTTTTATATGTTGTTCATCAACTAGTTTCATTTAAACAACTTTTTGAGTTTTAACTAAAGTTAAGCGTGAAATTATTAAGTGTACTATTAAATACCACCACTAATTTGACCATTGGTATCATGTGATAAGACATAATGGTTATTTTTAAAAGAATAATTTATTAAAAGCTGATTAGCTCAGACAATACGTTTTCTAGATTACACTTGCCAACATTCTTAGACGGTTAGTAATGGTAATAATAATAATAATAATGATAATAATAATAATTAAGAAAGGAAATATCCAAAAATGATACAACTTTTCAGATGAAATAGAACGAAACGAAAGTAAAACGAAACTTTTTTTCAGTTAATATGGCTATAATTTTTTCCACCAAAATATAGTGAAGAGAAAGCAAAAAAGGTGATAGAAAAATTGTTGAAAGACCCTAGAAATCAGCTGATTTTTCTTTTTATATATATATATATATATATATATATATATATATATATATATTCTCATGAGTCTCATGTCTCAAAAAAAAATTTTTAAACCAACAAAAAAATAAGGAAAATAACAAAAGAAAATTGGCGAAAACTATAAAGTTAAGTAGAATGGTTACAGGGAAGAATCAAAGAGAAATATAACGGTGAGAATATATATATATATATATATATATATATATATCCTCTGATCACGAAGAAGAGAATGCTCTGCACACTCAGGGAGTTTCTCTGATGATATCCAAAGAAGTACGAAATGCACTTATTGGATAAGAATCTCATGCATTCAGGATCATCAGTGCATCCTTCAAAACAGAGAATGAGGTAATCACGACGAATTTTATCCAATGTTATGCACCGACCAACGGTAACAATGATCAGTTTTATGAGAGGCCGCAATCAATCATAGTAAAGTGCACATGAGAAGACCC